CATTCCTTACACCTTCTACTTTCTTTCTCTCTCGTTTGCTGAAGCCGTTTCCGCTTCCCGAGCCCGACGATCACGAAGCGCTGACCGTTTCTAGTTAGATTCTATCAACTCATGCTGCTAAGGTGAGTGCATATTAGTTTCATCTTACACATAGATATGAAGTATCTTATATAAATTACGTGTTATGTGTGCATATCATCTGTATACTTGCTATCTATGATGGATGAACAATTTTATACATGTTTTAATTGATTTAAATTGTATATGTATTTTATATCTACAAATATGTTGGGTAAAACATGGGTAGATGAATTAGATGATGTGTGATGAAATAAAAATTGATGAGAGGTATCGATGTTTAAGATGATCTAGTCATCTAGCAGAGAATAGACATAGTTATTTGTTATTAATCCGGGAGTATGGACTAGGTATTTTTGAACTATGTGTTCATCCGATAAGTATCATGTACAAAATTTTTCTTTTTGTCACTATTGTGTGTCGGGGTACGGGAGCGTACAAGAGTACTTTATTAGTATTTTCCCTATACTTTTTATTTTGAAGAGCTTTGGAGTCTTCGTTTCTTTTATGAAGTGATCGGACGAGCTTCATGTGTCAGCGTTTCCGGTCACGATATTCAGACCACTGCTAGGCAAAGTTTGATGCTGGATAGGGCGAGTCTGGGGGTAAAATACCTCACGATATTCAGACCACTGCTAGGCAAAGTTCGATGCTGGATAGGGTGAGTATGGGGGTAAAATACCTCACGATATTCGGACCACGACTAGGCATTGTTATCTAGATAACTACCCCTGACTTAATTGTCTTGTGGTTCTTTCTTTTACGAACGAAGGTTCGTGGTGAAACTTATTCCATTCCCCTCATTTGATGTCTTTATCGATCCTCGTTTGCTGCTAGGGAATTTCCGAAGCAGTCTCGTCAGTTTGTTGTTCATATCGATCCTTTAGGCTAGATCTTGTAAGATCATTGTATAGGATCAGTACGTGGGGATCGACGTTCGTTAGTGCTTGTAGTATAAACCTCGGGCAGCGATGGACTTCGTGCCTATTCCTTAGGATAATCCTTAGGAATGAAGGATAGATGATTCTTAGGGTAGATACATAGAAGGGTAGTTTAGTAATTTTGTAAATCCTTAGGATAATCCTTAGGCGGTTTGATATTGTAAATACAAAGAAGGGTAGTTTAGTAATTTTGTAAATATAAGTTGTAACCACTTGTTTTCTTGTACATATGTTGTAGACGGTTATCATATTCAAGTAATGAGAGTTTTACTTTCTTCTTCTCTCTCTAAACGTAAAATGGTATCAGAGCATATGCTTCTGATTCAAGCCTCGTTCATCTGAATTTCGATTCAGGCTTCATTCATCTTCTAAATCAGTTCCGATTTGAAGATTCTTTTTTAATCTCTTAAAAAAAATCAAGCATGTTGACTTCAAGTGCAAGCAATTCAACTCCGTCTGCAACAGTTTTGTCTCCAATTGACGATCGATTGCATCCATATTATCTTCATCATTCAGATAATCCAGGTTACGTTCTTGTATCTCAGCCTCTTACGGGAGATAATTACTCTTCGTGGTGTAAAGCAATGTTGATTGCATTGTCTGTAAAGAACAAAACTGGTTTTATCAATGGATCTCTGCCTAAACCTTCTATATCAGATTCTCTCATGTATAATTCATGGATGCGTAACAACAATCTGGTGATATCTTGGATTTTAAATTCTGAATCCAAGGAAATCTCTGCAAGTATCATGTTTGCAGATACAAGTTTTGAAATCTGGAATGATTTAAAAGAACGTTTTGAACAATCCAATGGACCTCGTATATTTCAGATTCGTAAGGAATTAGTCAATCTAATTCAAAATCAAGACTCCATTGGAGTGTATTTCATGAAATTGAAGTCCTTATGGGAAGAATTGTCAAATTTCCGACCACATTGTTCAAATTTCCGACCATCTTAATGCCGCTAATCATCTTTTACGATACTTAAAAACTACTCCAGGCCAAGGAGTTTTTTTTTCCAAAAACATCTTCCTTTAGATTGAAGGCATTTTGTGATTCCGACTGGGCTAAATGTTCGGATACCAAGCGATCTACAACTGGATTTTGTAATTTTTTTGGGTAATTCACTCATATCTTGGAGATCTAAAAGGCAACCAACAGTGTCCAGATCATCTGCAGAAGCAGAGTACAGGGCAATGGCTTCAGCATGTTGTGAATTAGTTTGGTTAAAACGACCTCTTATGGATTTTTGTATTAGTCACTCTATGTCAACATTAATGTTTTGTGATAATGAATCGACAGTCAAAATTGCTTCCAATCCAACCTTTCATGAGCGTACAAAACATATTGACATAGATTGTCATTTCATACGAGAAAAAATAGAGGACAACTCAGTCAAACTCATGCCTGTGCGTTCTGATTCACAGCTGGCTGATATGTTTACTAAACCACTACCAACTTCAAAGTTGATACCTTTCATGTCCAAGCTTTCTCTCAAGAACATATATTCTTCAGATAAAGCTTGAGGGGGAATATTAGGCAGTTTGATATTGTAAATACATAAAAGGGTAGTTTAGTAATTTTGTAAATATAAGTTGTAACCACTTGTTTTCTTGTACATAGGGATGTGTGTTTGGACCGAATACCTGGACCGAAACCGAAACCCGGACCGGACCGACCCGAATTAGGACCGAATAAGTTATTTGGGTCGGTTCTTGGGTATCTATTTTTGCCCAATTCGGGTTTCGGGTTATTCGGTCCGGGTTACCCGAATAAATGTTTAATCGGGTCAAAAAGACCGACCCAGAAAGTGAATAGTCACTTGAATCGAATAACCCCAAATAAACCGAAATCACCCGGATAACCCAAATAAACCGAAATGACCCGAATAACCCAAATAAACCGAAATGACCTGAATAACCCAGATAAGGAAATTCTATATCTAGTTCAAGAAAAAAAATATTAAATTAATATTTTTTTTCTTGAACTGGATATAGAATTTCTTTATTTGGGTTATTCGGGTCATTTCGGTTTATTTGGGTTATTCGGTTCTAAAGCATAGTGTAAATGTTTATTTGGGTTATTTCGGTCGTTTTGAGTTAATAACCGAACCGAAACCCGTATTACCCGAACCGAACCGGCCCCGTATTAGTATATTCGGTCCGGATTTTGGTTCCCACTTTTCATCCAATTCGGATTTCCGATTATTTGGTTCGGGTCAGTTCGGCCCGAAGCACATCCGTACTTGTACATATCATACATACTTATAAAGCTAACATTTTTCCTTGAACCTCATGCATTTGAAACCCCTATAAAATTTTGCAAACACCTCATGCATTTGAAACCTTCTATTTTAATGAATACCACTCAAAAGTCTCTTAATAATGATTAACAATTCAAAGGTTTTATAACTTATATAATATATTTAATAAACAATTAATGGATACTCTACTAAAAAAATGTCAATCTTTTTCAATAGACACAAAAATACAAATCACATACAAAATTTATAAAAAAAACAAGTTTAAAGTTTTTTGTGTTGATTTGAGGGTTTTGAAAATTTTTTCATGCCATGTTATTATGTTGAATTTTTTTAATTTGTAAGTTTGTTATATACTAATTCTTTTTTGTATTTTCTTGATTTAAGTATTTTTTTTAAAGAATATCATTGTATGTTGTGGTTGAAATTTTAATATAAATTAGATTAGATTCATGTTATCGATCATATGTTATGGAAGGTGATATATATATATATATATATATATATATATATATATATATATATATATATATATATATATATATATATATAATATTTAATTAACTGTTGTATACATGTTTGTATGTTCATGTTGCTTCAAAACAATAATTAATTAAAAATCATGGATATGTCATATTATCCATATTATCCATGTAAGCTTTTTTTAAAATGCAAATTGTCTATCTTATCACTTTATATTTTAGTATATGTTTAACATTTTAATTATAATAATCAGTGTTTTTTAAAAGTTTCTTTCACTTATTAATAATAACAAGTGGTTTTAAAATTAATAAGCAATAATTATAAATAATAAAATCAAATTACATGGATATGTCATATTATCCATGCAAGTCTCTTTTGAAATGCAAATTGTCTATCTTATCACTTTATTATTTAGTGTATGTTTCACATTTTAATAATAATATTAAGTGTTTTTTAAAAGTCTTCTTTAACTTATTATTAATAATAAGTGGTTTAAAATTAATAAATAACAATTTTAAATGATAATAACATCAAATTATAAATTACATTTAGTTATAAATAAATTGCATTTTAAATGAACATCATTATTGAAATTAGAAAATGATCGCATAAGTAAAAATATAATTAATCAATAATAATAATTGTTAAAAATAATACTAAATAGATAATTATATTTAATTCTATTAATGAAGAATATTGGTTGATGTCAATGAATATTATTGTTCAAAATAATTGAGATTTTATATATATATATATATATATATATATATATATATATATATATATATATATATATCAAAATATTATCTCAAAGTTAATATCAATAACATAACCATTTTAAACATATATATTTTCAATATTTTAACAATATATTTTTAATCTTCGCTGAGAAACGCGCGGAATATATTTTTAATCTTCGCTGAGAAACGCGCGGGAATTGGTCTAGTGTTGTAGACTGTTACGATACTATGAGAGTTTTTCTTTCTTCTTTCACTCTCTAAACGTAAAACCGTTCGCACCTGTAGCAATAACTTGTAGTACTGTACAATACACATTCAATCCCTGTTGTCGGCCCCTCCCATCCGTGCCGCCCCATACCACCACGGCACCACCCCTTCCTCCGTGGCCTCCGTCCCTCGTTTCCGCCGAATACCGTCGTGAAGGAACCCCCCTCGGCGCTCGCCTTCAGCTCGTCAACCCTTGTAATCTGGTTCATTGCTATTTATATTCTAGATACAATGAGTATCGCATTGAAATCCCTACGATGTTTGAAGCAAATCTGCATCAATGTCAAAGCTCCCCAGAACTCTAATTATTTAATCAGCAGATACGTATTAGCTACCCTTTTTTCATCAACATCATACTGGCAGAGAGTCAACAGAAGAAATTTAGCTGCGTCAAAGCTAACCCTAGACGAATTCCAATTTCGTCGAGCCGTTTCACAGCTTCTGCCTCGATTCAAACCTGAAGACCTCCATAACTTAATAAATCTACAAGAAGATCCATTGGTATGTTTGGAGTTGTTCAATTGGGCGTCTCAACAACCTAGATTTACACACGATGTATCCACATTCCATGTTACGATTAAGAAGCTCGGCGCTGCAAAAATGTACGATGAAATGGATCTAATCGTCAACGAGGCGTTGGCGATTCCTTCTTTTGGTTCTGAAGCTCTTTACAACACGATGATATACTTCTTCACAGAAGCAAGGAAGTTGAGTAGAGCTGTTAACGTGTATAAACACATGAGAAGCCTGAAGAAATTGGATTGTAAACCTTCGATCAGAACGTATAATCTTCTATTCACTTCGTTTTTGAGCAGGAGAAGCAATACTTACATAAATCACATGTATATGGATACCATGAGCATGTTGTTCAAGCAGATGGTTGATGATGGGATCGATCCTGACATCTTTGCTTTGAATTCCATGATCAAAGGGTACGTTCTCTCCCTTCATGTCAATGACGCGCTTAGATTATACCATCAGATGGGCGTGGTTTATGATTGTGTACCGAATTCGTTTACTTTTGATTACTTGATCCATGGTTTATGTTCTCAAGGAAGAACATGTAATGCTAGGAAGATTTGTGATGAGATGAAGGCAAAGGGTTTTGTTCCAAGCAGTAAATCGTATAACTCACTTGTGAGTTCGTTTGCACTTGAGGGAGAAATCGATGAATCTGTGAGTTACTTGTGGGAGATGATTGGAAACGAAAGGTTGGGTGATTACATTACGTATAGGACTGTGGTTGATGAGTTATGCAGACAACAGAGGTGTGGAGATGCTGTAAATTTGCTTAAGGAATTGCAGGAGAAAAGGTTGGTGGATCGGTCTGCTTACAGGAAGCTTGAATATGAACTTCAAGTCAATTATAGAAACTTGTATGATGGCAATGGGCCATAAAGATTATGTAGGAATCATGCCAAACCCATGAAGCGCTAAAATTACAGGTTTGTCCTCTTCTAGCTTAAAGCTACTTTGACATTACCATGTTGACTCTTGATTGAAGAAACTTGAGAATGGCTGAGATTATCAGTATCCCAGAACATTTTGAATTCAGCATTAACCATTTGTTGGTGAGGGAGAAGATAAATTGGTATAATCAAAATTGCAAATGCAAGTATGTAACGGAATTCCTTGTTTGGGTTGATGGGTACATCTTAAAATGTGATTAAATAGGGTATGATTTTGGTGCAGTAGGTTGTGTCGATGCCATTGCTAAAAGAGATGGTAGAGTGAGAAGAATAAATAATGAAAAGCTTGGAGAAGCCCATTTTGATCAAAGAACAGATTGTGTTGAAGCTTAAGCTCTTAACTAATTCATGTTGATGTGCGAGAATGCAAAAAAGCTGCTTATAAAAATTAATGTCTCTGGTTGGAGTACAAATTAGTGTCTATGAACTACAAGAGAGTAGTAACCAAGATTAAAGAGGTTCTTCAATAACCATTATTTTCCATCTTTCGATGAGATCATCTACAAACTTAACAACGTAACACTGACACAAAATACCAAAATATTTCAGGCAGTTTTAATTTTAGAATAGGATGATTAAGGGACCGCCTATATCAGTGTACTAGTTTATGTACAGGAGACAGTGACACGTGTTTTTACAGTCTCCCAAGTGTTTTCCACTACCTGTTAGCTTACGGGTTTTTTGTAGTTAACAGTTCATTACATAGTATGATGTAGCTTTTATAAAGAATCAATAATATATACTTTAAGGTTTGTGTTCATAACATATAGATACGAAGTGTAATGAAGAAGTCAAAATCTCAATTTTAACCATGTTTAATGTGGTGTTTTGACATAATAGGAAGAATGACCAAAAATATTTCAGATCGATAGAAAAAGAACCAACTCTACAAAAGCTACGAAAAATAGCTTCTTGAAATGCACACGTTGTTGAAGGATATGTAGTTGATGTTGAAAGGAGATGAACAGAAACAGTAGTTTGGAGTTGGAAAAACAAAAATTTACAATTTTTATCTTACATAAGAATGGTTTTCACATTGTGCATTATAATATTTGATTTACAATTGCTATCTTAAATAAGAATGGTTTTCACATTATGGATTATAATATTTGTTTTATTTGTGAAAAATAGATATACAAAGATCTATCGGTTTATATACTTTTTCTCCGGATTCTATCTTGAGCAACCAATCATAATTAAAATTTCCTGGCTCCCATACCATATATGATCTATCATCCACAACTTGAAATTGGTAAACAAAGAGGTGATCTAATTCGCATAACAGAAAACTATTGCCCCATCACAAAACTCTGCTTGCAAGGTCTACAATGACAACAGTACAAAAAAAAAAAAAAAAAAAATTGGGGGGGAAAGAAAATGCATAATAGTTCATTCCCAAAAAAGTTTCTATCAGAATAAAATATTAGCTGCGTGATCGCCAATAATGTTGTACAACTATAAAATAATGTCATGAAACTAGTGTATGTCTGCTCGGATAATTTTCAGATAGACCTCCTGTTTCATATATTGGCACAAATATAAAAAAATAAAAATAAAAGATATAAAAAAGTTTAATACAAAAGGTATCTGGAAATAATAATAATACCTGAAACTGAAAGTGTAAGGTAGATCATAAATCTTTATCGTCCTCTAGCTGTGCATTCAGTGTTGCTTTTTCTGTCTCTTCTAAAACAAATGTTTTCATCGACTCAACATCCTTTGCACCTAAACATTTCATTTGTGTTCATCACATCACATAGTACATACACAACCAAATTTCTGATAATCAACACTTAATTCACAATCAGGTTGATAATAGTTTACCAAAGGAGGATCCAAACTCTAGTTATTACCTCATGTGAGTGATTTTAAGGTAAATATTGTTGTGTATGTCACAAGTTGAGTGGTAGGAGTAAATGTAACTTCATTTCATGCATGGTATTATATATGATAATACAGTGGGAGTCTTATGCATATATTTTATTAGTAATCTTATAATCTAGGCACATAACAAAATGTGACATGCGTTTTTACTTTTTACAAACAACAAAAGACTGGTTGTGTTTGACAGACTAGCTGAAAAGCTACCTGATAAAGTAATAATGTTTGGTAGAAAACTAGCTGATAAGTTGCATGAAAAATGTAAAATAACAGAAAAAGACATTTAGATATATAATAAAAAACGAACGTTATATTGTAAGAAACATTATTAAAATAAATAACAAATTTCATTTTTCCGCGAACTGAAAATAAGGATGGTTTCCGGGAACAGCACTAATCTTATTTTGGTTGTGGGGCCCATTTGTTTTTATTTTTGATGATTGCAAATTTACAATGGTGTCAAAACCATTTCTAGATGTTTAGGTAAATAAGTTTAGAAACACAATGATTTGATACATAATTTTTAAAATTACAATACTCTTGTACAAAACTACATCTCCATATAAGACGCATGCCAAGAGTAAAAAAATAACAAAATGAATTTTCACCAAGTATATTCCTTCTTTTTTATTTTGAGAAGAACGCAACAAGTAGCTGAAATATAATGTAATACAACTGTTGGTTAAATTGCTATAAATCTAAAATACTATTAATAAAATAAAATATATATTTTCGTTATTATTTAGAAATATACTAATGGTGTATGTAGAAAACTTGTAAAAAAAGCCCCATGAGCTTATCAACAAACTATATCAAATGGCTTTTTAAATAGCTAAGCTTATATGCTCACATAATATAGTTGTTAAAGAAAAAGTATGTTATAAACAATTCTTAATAGAACATACTTCATGATCCACTAATGAATACCCCTCTATGAAGGTTTCTACACTTCACCTTTCTTTTATAGGCTTACTTTACTCATCTTTAAACCTTTGCACCATCTAAAATAGATGATAACATAGCATACAACCCTTTAGATTACAATTTCAACCTTTGAAGGTCATGGTTTGAAGAAGGTTCTTATTCACAGAATTAACTCGATTCATTGTTTCATTGTCTTATTTTGCTAATTAAATTGAAGGCCTTTAGAAAACGAATCTTGGTTCAATGGAACCCCATAAGTTTCATTCAATGAGGTTGCAGAAACTTCTGTGATGTGAAGAAATAGATATCTAATTGCATGTTTAAAAAGGTGGCAGAACTTCGTGTCTAAGAAAAGATTAAAGCAAAAGTGTACCTCGATATCTGGCAACTTCTTCTCCATTATAGAAAAGCTTGAATGAGGGATACGATCCGATTTTAACTTTTGAACAAAGAGGTTTATTAGTACCACAGTCCACTTCACCAACCTCTATTTCATCCTCCCCTTCCATTGTCTTTCCAAGATCCTCCCACAAAGAACCCAACTTCTTACTGTAATGTTGCAGCAAATTACAACAACTCAAATATAAATCTCAAATTAATAACCAAAATGAATTATGTGACACAATGATGGATGGAAATGATTACTCACCAATGCTTGCACCAAGGAACACAGAATTTCACAAACCAAGCAGTGTCTTTCTCTTTTACCTATATGAAGAAGCATAAGAAAAAAGGAAAGAAACTAAGCACACACAAAGCAAAAGAACATGTAGAGATTAAGATGACAAGTCTACAAACTATTGCTAGCTCTACTGTCGATAGAGAGACAGATTTAGGTCAATCCGACTACTTAATTTCATCAATAGTTTATAAGAATCTAGAAATGATATTTGATAAACAAAACGTAGTACAAAGGTTTGGAAATTCAGTTAACATTGCCATTGAAGATTACTACTATGTTTGATCATATTAAAAATACATCCACATTCAAAAATAAAATTTATCCAAACGATAATGAAGTATGCACTAAGGCATTGATACCACAGAAGATACCGGATAATCCGAGATATTCGAGCAAAAAAATCATAATCGAACATCAGAAACTAACAATAGGGGATAAACTAAGAGATCATAAATTACCTTGTCGGAGAAGGTACTTTCAGTTAGGGTTATGACTTCAGCTCTTGTATCGTGTATGAAAGCCGAGAGTAGTAGTGATGAAATTAGGACTGTAGCAAGTAGAAGCGATCGATGATCGCCTTTCATGGCAGCTACTGGATGGCGGATCAAACTGGATGCTCTTCGGGAGATTTTGCTAGCGGCAATCGGTTTCCAATGGATTTAGATAAAAGGGAACTAGGGTCTTCTTCTTCAAAATAAATTATACTTATTATTTTTATTTAAGTAATTTCAAAATAAGTAAAATTTGTCACTTCCAGAATTTTAATCAGATCCATGTAAATTGTATTTAGTATTTACACAACTTCAAATTTTCAGCACAAACGATTATAAATACGAAAAAATAAATATAATATTGTCACTTCTAATAGAACTTTAATTAGATCTTTGTATTTACGTATTTACGACCTCAAATTTTCAGCACAAACAATTATAAATATGAAACAATAATAATAATAAGTATTGTCATTTCTAATAGAACTTTAACTAGATCTATGTATTTACTTTATTAACAACTTTAAATTTTCAGCACAAATAATTAGAGAAAGATAGAACAAAAACAATTTCTAATGTTTTATATTTTTTAAACAATTGGTATAGTTCATCTATAGTAACTCCTTTAATTATAAGATATAGGAATATATGAAAGCACATGAAAATTTCACCATTGGCTTTAAATGACCGTCTAACAATTTTTTGAACATTAAACAATTAAAACTTGAAATTTACCTGTCTAATATATCATTTTGTTTAAAGTTAGCAGGTTTACCTGTTACATTGTTTATGTGTACAGTAACTTTTGATAGTAAAAGTTTCCCATATCTATGTGGACATATCCACATGGATCGGTTTTCAGTTGACCGCTGATCTCTTTCCAATTGATCATTTGCTTTTTCCTCTCCCTTATCTCTCTCCTTATCATTCTCAAGTGGCACAAGGCCTCTTAAACTAAGTTCGTCATTTTCATTTGTGTGATGAAGTTGCAGTAGAAGTTTCAACCAGTTCACCATTCTTTCAAATTGAATCAAAAGCTTAGTGCTCCCCATCGAAAATTCCATTGTCGTTCCTTATTAATAGCCAATGACGACCCATTTTCGCTCCATCTGCATCACAAAATTAGCGATTAATTAAATGAACCATTCTTCGCCCTCATTCCTTCAAACTAGATCAAGTTACATGATGTTGAAAATATCAACCATTGAAATTCAAATATGCTAAGCTGACATCGAAACCTAGAAATACGATTGAGACCCAGATGCAAAATGGTCAAGAACACCCCAATGAAAGAACATCAATGATCAATTCATTTCACTCCATCTACATTACAAAATTAGCGAAGCATCAAACAAACCATTCTTCACCCTCATTCGTTCAAACCATATCAAGTTATATGATGTTGAAAATATCAACCATTGAAACTCAAATATTTGAAGTTGGCATCAAAACCCAAAAATACGATCGAGACGCATATGCAAAATGGTCAAGAACACCCCAATGAAAGAACATCAACAACCAATTTCCAGAAAATTGGTTCCATAATCGAACTTATTATTAGTGGTGTAACGGGATATCTTCGTGCCATCATGACACCTAGTCACGAAGACATGAGATCAAAACCTCTCCAAGGAGAATAACCACCCCCAGTCTTTACACCCAGTTTCCCTTTGAGGGGCTTCACGCATTAACTGGGATATCCCCCACATGTGCTCCACCCCCGACCTTCATCCACATGGGTATATAATCCTGTACCTCTGCCCGGTTGAACATGTTAAATCACCAATAACAATTGATTAATATATATAACCCATCTAGAGTATGAGATCAAGATGAAGAACACCAAGAAAACCCTAGAATCAGATTCTTCAACTATTTAATCCAAGAAAATCGATGGTGTCTGAAATCGATAATGATATACGAACTTGAAGCACATATCCATGGATGAAATTGATGAGTAATGAAGAGCTCCAAAAGAATATCGAAAAGGGCTTTCACCAAAATGGGTTTGTGCACCAAAATGGGTTTGTGCATTGCGACATCAAGCTTCAAATTTTCTGTTAGTTTGTGATGGTGGTAAAGACACTATGAAGATCGCCGATTTAGAGGAGCATAGAGGCGGTGAAACGGAGAAGGCCGACTGAAGAAGAGGAGGCGACAGGAGGGATGGAAAGGAAATAGAGATTATCTAAGACACGTGGAATTTATTATAAGAGTCAAACAAAGATCAAGGTCTGTGTGACATAAAATATGCCATGTCATCTAACTTTTGGTTGAATTTATATGTTAATCAGGAACAAGAGGTTATATTCCATCTAATAACAGGTCATTTTTGAGTTTATTCCTTTAGAAGGAACAAAAACTAGTTTAAGGACCTTTTATAACAAAACACAAAACCTTGTTGGGTTTTTATGACAATAACCCATAAGATAAGCATTGATTTTCAATTGCCAAAAGCTCAGCAATATGCAAACATTGCACATATGCAGCAGCTCTAAATTTCAACAACAGGCACAACATTTCACCCAAAAGCATAAACAGTAAACAGTAACTTACGGATAATTCCTAAAATTAATGCTTCAACCAACCCCCTCCAAAAAACAAATTTTCACAAAACAAAACACAAATCCACCATCAATTCTTTCTAACCCAGAAACATACTTTGTACACAACGTTGATCATGAAAAAAAAAAAAAAAAAAAAAAAAAAAAAAAAAAAAAAAAAAAAAACTGGATGAGGCAAACGAAAGGTACATTTACCTTTTTGCCCTCTTCCTTGTGCATAAGACAAAAGCCAAGAATGATTTGCCGGTCAGCTTCAAAATAAGCCTTAGATCTCCTGACATCACTTCATGGCAACAGCCCTCTGTGAAGCCTGGTTAGATGATATGCTTATCCACTGCTGGCCTAAAGAACCCCCATCACCTCTATCCGAAGAATGCAAATGATATGTGCTGCGAGCATTCAGTGAACTTACCAATTCGCCCCTTCTCTTTTCATTATGGGCCTCCAAACTTTCATCAGATTCATTTGATCGCACACGCTTCATACCCGTTGAATTCATATTCATATTCACAGACTGGGATGATGACATGCCTGAACCTGAACCTGTTGCATTGTTGTTATTATTATTATTATTATTATTATTATTATTATTATTATTATTATCTTCATCTCCTCCATGCTTTGAAGAAGAGTCAACTTGAGTCTTTTTTGCAAAACGACCACCACTACCCCTCACCCTTCTCATTGCATGCTGATGTCGCGATTCATGAAGATAAGGCTGTAAATTTCCAAATATAACAAATTACTCATCAACCAGATACTACTTTACCCCATCATGCGAGAGGGGTACATCAGTAATTTAACCAAACACATACAAGGCTTGCTTTAAAGACATACGGTTTGTTTCTTCTTTTTTCCTATCAAGTACTGTATGGGTAATGATGTCTGTCTGTATAAACAAGGTTTATTTCATCTGAATCACTATATGACGGACCATTTTACTTTCTACATTCCAAAAAACAAAATTAATCAAGTTGGGAGGAAACAACAAGGGACAATAGGTAAAGGATTAGTGTCTTGATACATTAAGCCAGGTTTTTTAAGTCATTCTCTCCATATTAAGTCAAAAGGAAACAGTCATGTATAGATTTCCAGATTAACTGCTTAACTCATTAAGCCCATTAAAAGTAAATTCCTCTTTTGAACATAATTTACCCAAACAAATTTCTCTGTCATGTTTCATGTGTATTACTGTTATATTTTTTTCATGATTAGCAAGACACAAAAATTAACACATAAATGACCTTTCTGTCCTTTATCAGCTTCTTTTCGAGCTCTGCTTTTGCACGTGATTGTCTTCGCCTCAATATTGCATGGTATTGTTTGGCATTCACATAAACAGGCTCTTGTGCCATTTCAAGGGGTAAAGGCATCCTCGCTTGGTGCATATCAAGAAATTGAGGATGAACCTACAAAACACACATCATTGACTTGGTCAAACCACTTACATACATACATACATACATACATACATACATGAGGGTAACAAAGATATTTGAGATAAGATATCTTACCATAGGCTGACCATAAGCTGCCATCATTCCACTATAGTATGGATCACAATATGGATTTGGAGCACATGCCTGCAAAACACAAACACCAAGAACACATTCATGAATTTGAAAAAAGAATATCACAATATATATATATATATATATATATATATATATATATATATATATATATATATAAAGAAGCTGAAGGAAGCTTACAATTGAGTGGCCAACAAGTTCGAGTTGTGGGACTTGCCCTAAGGTTTCTGGATTACTTGGAAGGACATTTGGTACTCCCTGATGAAAATTGTGCTGCTCTTGTCCATAGCTATCTGACCTCAAGAAGTTGATTTCATCATCAGTATTGAAATAAAGTAAAGTTGCCGATAATTATAATTCAATTCAATGGACTGTGATACATTAGCATAGTAAGTTGGATTTTGGAAGCACCTGAAGGAAAAGATTGAGCATTTTGTGTTTCTTTGCTAACATCATCTTCTTCCTCACTTAGAACTTCTTCAGACTGTGATTCCTTGTCTTGTGATTGTTCTTGTGAAGATGAATCAGATGAATTTTCCCGCATGGCAGTATAGGACATGGAGCTTATGCAACACTGTTTATGATGACCATCAATGTAGAACAATATACATTAATCAGTATACAGCCATTGTATCATAGCACGCTAGAAAGAACCCATTCGTGACACTCTGCATAATATACTACTTTTCTCATGCATGAGGTGTACCAATGTCAAACCTCATAAGACAAGCAAAAAAAACCCATACAAATATCAATATTTAGAGCAAGGAATCCATTTTAGAAGCCCATCCTGCCCTCAATTTATTAATAACAGCATATATTAATAGTATGCATAAGGGATATCAATCTCAAAACCTGTGACATGAACATAACCGTTCTGTTTTCTATTTTACAAGCCATCACCAACTCAAAAAATTTAACAGAATGTCTCAAATTCAATGAATTAAGACAATGATTTTCAAGCAAGGAGCAATAGAAATTAGGTAAAATACATAAAACAAACTGTGTACCTCAAATTCATCAAAAGTACCAAATTGGAACCCCAACCTCGAATTAAAATCTCCCACCCCCAATTCAATTATGATTAACAAGATTATAAAAAGAAACTATCACAAAACGGAAATTGCAAATCAAAACGACTGAAAACAATCGACAAATTCAACATGCATATGCGGACGAACAGATATATTGGGAAACAGTAAACGTACAAGTACGATTTAGAAAAAATTACCAGTATCGAGCGCGAAAAGTAAAAACCCTAGAATTGGGGCGATGAATCGGAGAGAATTCAGCTGTAAATCTAGAAGGGAAAAAATGTTTTAGAGAGAGAGGAGTGCGAATTGTAGAGAGAGAGAGAGAGAGACTATGTATGTAATTTGTTTCTCTCTCTTGATTTGAAAACTGGGCTTGACTCAACCTCATTCTATGCTGACGCGTGTAACACATCGCGAATTTTCTTTCTTTATTTTCTCCCACTAATATTTTATGCTCCGTAAATTTACAATCATTACCCTTTGACTTATCTCTTGAACCCTAAAAAAAATTTGACCGTCTCAGTTTTTTAGAATGTCTTTTTTTGACACGTGTCATTTTTCTATGATTTTTATTATTTCTTTTTCTTTTAACAAAGCAAATTCAATTTAAATTTTGAAAATAGAAAATCATATTCTAATAACATTGTTATGTTTATTTTGCTTAACAAATTAATTCATAATTACTTACAATCGAAAATATCTTGGTTTTCTTTACATTTATTATTTTTTATCTATATAGAAATTTTAAATATACCGACCGTGGTTTCCATGATATAACGGGTACGGGGATATTCTTTGGAAATTTTAGGATAATTAAATAATAATTATTTGGAATATCAGAATTATATATATATATATATATATATATATATATATATATATATATATATATAAAATTATATTTGAGTAAAATATGATATCGTATTAGATTCAAAGCAATTGGACTTAACTTAGAAATAAATCTAAATACAAATAGTTTGAGAATAAAAATAAAATATATATATTGAATAAAAATTTTGATACAATTTTAACATATATATATATATATATATATATATATATATATATATATATATATATAGAGAGAGAGAGAGAGAGAGAGAAAGAGAGAGGAATTATCATTTGCGAACCTATAGTTTCCCGAGAATCTGATAACTAAAAGTGGAACGTTAGATCAAAACTTTTAATGGCTTAGATCAAAGATGACATATTTGTAAATGTGATCAGCTTAAATGGCATATTAGGTTTTTTGAAAATTATCATGAGGGAAAATCAGGTATATGAGTTATTTATCCCAAAAATCATCTAAAACACACACACACATACACACACACACACTCTCTCTCTCTCACTACACAACCCCTAGATCTGTATATTCTCTACACCGTCGCTTCTCTCTCACATCTTCTAGTCGATTCGTTCCCCCAAACCACCACCGTATGACGGCGTCGCAACATCACCGCCTCAAGAACACCTGTCATCGCAACCGAAGAGTAAGCCGGGAGGTGGAAGACGGTGGTTGTTACGAACACATGACATATTCTGGTAAACCTCTGTTTGCTTTCTCTAGCATCACGACACCATTGTTGATCCAGAAAGAGTTAAATGGTACAATTTCCATATCATAATGTACAACCTCTGCGCATCAACGATTCTGTCTAGATTTGAACTGATCTATCGTTCCTTCATCGATCTAATAGAGGTGAATACATTACACAAAATGTGGGCATTCACTCAGCTTTGGTGGACCTCATAAGCTCGTCTGATGACACTGCCAGGCTTGGGATACTCGCTCTTACCAACATGTTTCTTCCTTCCTGTGTCTCTAACAATTTGATTCCTGATTTTGATGTTTTGAAATACAATTTTTGTCACACCCCGAAACCAGAAAGGCGGAAACGTTCCGGGGCGGAGGACGTCATGCGTAGCATCACAACCAATGAATAACAGCAATCATAGCAACACAACCATTACAGTGAATACTTAAGTAAAAATGTTTACATCAATTCTGAAACTTGTTTGAATTACATCATATAACTTGTATGAATATAAACATTAAACTCTTATTGCTTCAACTCTTCAAAAACCCAGCAGGTACCTGTCTACTAATTTCCTCAGAATACAAGCAGTTTAAAAGAGTATCAGCATAAAGCTGGTGAGTTCATAAGCGAAGGTTTGCAGTGAAAATCGTTGATGAGTTCGGAAAATATTTGTATAGTTACAAGAAAATCCGATATTTTCCTTAGTGAAAATTTAGTGTTATCAGTTCTGTAATAAACCATGAATATTTGTATGTTTCCAAGAAAATCCGATATTTTCTTTAGTGAAAAGGGTAGCGTTATCGATTTCGTATAAAACCAGGAATGTTCGTTACTGAAAACTGTAGTGATATGCGAAAATACTACCTCATGTGACTAGCTAAAACTAATCATGAAGTGTAAGTATTTTATATGTGAACCCATTACATAATCGGTTCTGTTTGAAAAACCCTGGCTTTAGCCAGAATACGTAGTGTGTATCAGTTCTATTTAGTAAAAGTAGGACTGTTGAAGAGTGTTAAGCTGTAAACTAAAGGTGATTTATACATATTGTGAGTCGTATAACCATGCTTGATATGACTAGAGACCTTTCCAACGTTCTTCAAGCGTCGAGTTAAATGACATTTGTACATCTCAGGCGTGCCCGCCTAACTGTAGCTAGCAGTCCAGATGTGGGATTGTCAGTCCCGAATAGATCTATTCACAAATCTCACGCTCTCCCTCCAAGAGACTCTGGTTATACAGTGGTAGGATTTATCCCTGTACACCTAAGGGTACAGTAGTGAAGTAGCACCTCACAGTATCGTACAATCTAGTTTACATGTAGTGTAGTAGCGTTCTACCGTAGTGAAAATCCGTATGTATACCATATATAGTGATAATTTCAGTTATGAATACCATGATAAAGTAGTGATGTAAACTGTAAACGGTTTCTGTTTCAGCACATATGTTTAGTAGTGAAAGTTTCTATACTTGATATGTTTTAGAAAAATCCCAAACTATACCGATTATCGTTTGCATGTATAATGTAGTGAATAGCGAATCCGGAAAACTATGCAATTTTAGTGAAAACGTCCCTTATGCTCAACACAGTACAAAAGGGTTAAAGTATGAGAATTGCATGAGTTTTGAAAACATTTATGTTTAGCTTGTATTCCCCCCCTGAAAACATTAAAAATACGGAAAATGTAGGGGTATGAACTCACAGTTCTTGTTGTGAAATCGTTGACTGAAATGAAGATCCTTGAGTTGTTGCACGTGACACTTAACGAAATCCTATTATCAAATAAATACATATATGTATCTACATTAGCGATTTCGATAGATAAAGTGTCATAAGAACACTTGTATTCGGTTGAGGAAAGTTACCGGGGCTTGATCGAATCGAAGAAAATGAGTTTTCAGCCAAAAGTACCACCAAAAAGGTGTTTACGGTCGAAGAGGGGTTTACGGTTCCTGAAGGCTCGGTGAGTTTACGGCCGTAAACTCAAGAACAGAGTTTACGGTTCTTGAAGGCTCGGACCGTAAACTCAAGAACAGAGTTTACGGTTTCTGAAGGTTGGACCGTAAACTCAAGAACAGGGTTTACGGTTCTTGAAGGTGGACCGTAAACTCAAGAACAGGGTTTACGGTTCTTGAAGGTGGACCGTAAACTCAAGAAAAATGGTTCTGATTGCTGATTTTGATGAGATAATCGTTTCCAGGCGTTCCCTAGTGACTCCAAACGTGGTTTCTTGATGATTTCCGAAGTTTGAAGGCGTTTTGAGTGTTTATGGTTAAGGTTCTTAGAGAGAGAAGGATAGAGTTTTTGGCCAGAAATGTTCTAATGCAGGTGGATGCATCGTATTTATAGGGGTGTTGTGGGGGGGTCCACTCGTTACTGACCGTAAACAGGTTTACGGTCGTAAACACGTTTACGGTCGTAATCCCATTTAGACCGCAAATGCTTGATTTTTCGAAACAATCGGGTTTCCGCGTGATTTTGGTTCCGACTCGTAATAATTTAATTAAATATAACTAGATTATTTTCTAAACCAAAAAGTTTGACGGAAGAGTTAATGAATTCGAAATTTTATTAACACAAACTGTGTAACGGAAACGGAAAAAGTTTCGGGTTGTCACAATTTTATTGTTTGATATATTCTTTTTTGTCTATATGCTAGTGATATGTTTAAATGACTAGGAAAAGAATCGCATATGGAAGTTGTTTTGAAGGTAGTTTATTCCGATATCTTTGTAGTTTTTAGGATTAACGATTGATTTAGTTTTGTTTGGTGAAAATCTAAACTTAATTTAGTTTGACTAGTTGATCTATCTGCTTAGCAGTTAATTTGATTTGATTGTCTAATTAGGAAGTCGCAAGATTTGACCAGTACTTTATCTTCACTTGCACTTATCTTAACCAGGCACTGAAATATGGATTGACTGCCATTCATGTGCCATATTCCTATGGATTTGCAATTATATTGCTGACTGTTCTTGTCAAGGTTGCAACCTTGCCATTGACAAAGCAACAAGTGATCATCCTCTCTCATTCATATATTGATGATGATGATGATATAATGGTCTTCTACTACTATTGTTTGATGAGTTCACTTCTTTAAAAGGTTGAGTCACCTCTGGCAATGCAAAACCTCCAGCCAAAGCTCAAAACAATTTAACAAAGATATGCAGGAAATCAGGTGCAACATTATTCATTAGAGTTTTGTATGTTACACTTATAAGAAAATTCATTTATTATACGTAAATGTGAGCATATCATGTAACAACACTCTTATGTGCATTCGTCACTTCATTGGGAATGGTGTGCATAGCCTGATTGCCCTGTAAAATGTTAGGATTCATGGAGAATTTAGGTTAGAGACTTGATATGGGCCTGATTCATCTAAAATTAATTTGTCCAGCTAAGAGGTGGAAAAATGCCATTGAACCAATAATAACAAACTCAAGCATTCTACTGAGCACTTTTGTTACTTATCATATGGAAATTGTGACATCCCCATTTTCACGGCCAGAAAAAATCGATTTTGTTTATGCTTTATAAAAATCAGAGTACTTCTTTTAATAAAAATGTTGCGGAATTTGTTCCCAGAAAAACATGATAAATACATTATCAAAGCATTTCCGAAGAAATGTATTTTTATTCATTTTAAAACATTTGGGATGTCATCGTCAATACAGAAACATAAGCATAAACAGAACTTACATTTATTTACACTAGTGATCTACATCTCTTTTAAATCTCTCAGTGTAAAGTAGCTTCGTATCGACACCTGTGATACAAATAAGCTTGCGTGGGTCAGGTTGGGAAA